TAACCAACTTACTTCATATGCTAATTTAGCAAAGTGTTATGCCACCGTATCTGTATGCATTATTGGATTTGTTTTATTTCAACTTGTCATTCCAGGTCATTGGCTGTTGCTTGATATCCCAAGTGTGGCTGCGCTTGATGTGCATGTTGACAAGGTGCCTACCTGTCTATTACCCACTACCTCGTCCATACTGGCTCCAGGAGACAGTTGGTCGTTGCTGGAGGGGACGGGGTGCACGGTTCTTGTGGCCGTGCTAGGCTCAAAGAGCGGTTCCATGCACTCAGTGTGGAGCGGACGACGGTCCAGCCACCGCCTTGTGTGCACTTGATTCCCAAATACAGTGTGCTTGTGTTTGCCTGTGAAGGAGTGTGGGCCGGCTCCGTTGATGAAACGTGGTTCCCATCCGCATGCCTCCCGGTCTTATTCCTTCGGGTTTACACTGGATATGGGGTGTGTGGATGGAGCTGTGGGTGGTGCAGCGCAAGCCCCCCGTGGTCCCTCTGTAGGCGCAGGTGTTCTGTGGCTGGCCACAGTGACAGGCAAATCCGAAACCGGATGCCGCCAACCATCCCCGAGTCTGAGTGGGTGAGCGCTTAAGAGGCGATAGCGCTTGCTTGATGGCCGTCGCTTATTGTCCCCCATCTTCCATGTCCGAGATGAATCCAATCTGCCATATGCTCTGAGGCTAGTGATAAACAAGAAGTACTGCCGTATTCTTAGCACTGGTCATTTAAACATTCACGCTCCGGAATCCCGAGCCAACCATAGCGGATGTGAAAGAATTTGTTCCCTGTTTTCCACTTTAGGCAACATCACCAGAGTCAGAGGCAATTAGGCCGTCTATTTTTGATAGGATATTCACCAAGGAAAAATTCTTAATCGAGAAAGTGATCATCCACGACCCTATGTGTCGCAGTGATCATGTAGACTTAATCTCTGAAACATCTGTTATGCAGAGTATACTGTGGACAGGACGAAGGCAACTCGAACTTGTTATGGGCTATGACACGTTGCCTCAACTTTGTGAGACAAGTCACTGGACCTTCCTGAGAGGTGAAGAACGGGCTATCGCATTGCTACATTTTGTCGGCCAGTTAAACATCCTGGTTGCCGATGCACCGAAAACGAAGACTGCCTAATCGAGAAAAAACAGGCTCCATTTTGTCGAAAGAGGCCATATAAGTGGATATCGGTACGCCCGACCTGGTATATATATAAGACCATCCTTCAAACACCGAGACTTGAATATAGACATGGAGTAAATGTGCATGATAAATACAATGAACACAAAATGGAAAGTATACAAAGAAAACTTTTTTGTACTTTTCACACGTCGTTTCATTTGTTTCTGTCTGTTTAGTGATTAAGCTTTTGATCAGTAGAATCAATTCGTAGACGTATGCAAACCTTCCATTTCCCCGATTAAGCGCCATATCCTCAAGCGTCTTCAATCGGCGATGTTCTTCATCCCTGACTCCCAAGCCCGGATGACGTACAGGGCCGACAACAGATAGACTAAAATTCAGCGTCTTGACGTTTTGTCGCCATGTGCATGGTTGACCACATCGCAATTTCTTCCAGTGCGGCCCTACGCAAGCGAATATAGGGCGCCGTGGTAAATGCTTGCACGGCATGCGTAGGACGTTGGCACCTCAGTTGTGTTGTGTCGGCACCCCGCGACTGCTTCCACTCACTAACGGTAGTGAGAATACGCAAAACCAGAGGCAAGGATTTAAGTGTTATTTTTACATAGGGAAACTGCTGTTATATAGTATGACGCACAATCGTGTAAGCCAATCGTAGTACGGTAAGCGTGCGGACAAGCAAAGTCAATAAACACTGAACGAATAAGGAACCAATCAGGTGCACGTAAAGAACGGAAAGTGAGTGTTAACTTTAGACTAGGGCTGCGACCTGAGGGCAAAACTAACGACTCTAACTAGCCAATAAGGATAGCGAAAAGATACAATAAAAAATCTCAGTGAGCCACCAGAGCAAAATAAAAGTCTGCACTCATGAACGGTTACAAAAGCCTACCTGTATTTTTATTGCTCCTTTAACACCTCCCTCCCACTTCTTGAGAAATAACCTCACGTTTGGTCCACATAGCTCTTCCGATGGGGGAATCCACCTGGGTCCACTTGGATCTGCAACCATGGCGGTTCGGGCTTAGGCCAAGATAGCAGTGTCCTCCGTACACATAACTTGCAAACACATTTAGAACAGGTACAGCCAAGATTGAAGATAATAAAACTCGTTACAGAACTCACATGACTGAGTGGCTCTTTGAGTAAATTTACCTTCGTAATCGACTCGATCTGGGCAGATCCCTATCCAGACAGAAGACCGGATAAATGCTCCCATAGATTTGTAGATCCTTTAGTCTGAGTTCGCAGTAGATTCTTCCTTTCAGCTACAGATGTCCTTCCGAAAGTTTTTGAATCGTTAGAAGTATAGATTTGACTGCCGTTGTGCCAAGTCTCACCTAGGTCGATAGAGAAATGGTCTTGATAACATGCAGCGTTTCTGGTCGCAGCGATACCGGAATATTGTTGCAGTTCATTGTAGCATGTTTTCTCTTCCTTGAAAAGTCTGTGCGAAATACGGTGGAAGTCATCCCCCTCACTGTGTCACGAAACTTGTTTCGTTTGAATCTGGAGCTTGTTAGCAACCGTGGGGTATCCACGCATCTGAATTTGTGGGCCTTTTGATAATACAGATTTTGGTACGCGTAAGCTCTCGCAGAATGCCTTTCATCACCGTTCCAAGACGCACACTGGGGCTTCCGGTCCGGCACATCTCGATTCACAATTTGGCCATGAATAGCTGTGCCAGGGAACTGGAGTTCTCCTATGGCATCTGAAGCTTCAAACATTTTTGGGTCATAGTTCAAGCTGAGCAGCCTGTGAAATTCAGATGCCATTTCCTCTTATGTCTGCTTTGATTCATGCTCCCATTACACTTGGATGTTCCGTTTTGATGATAGCAGCTCAATTAACTGTCGATGAGACTTTACAATCTGCAGTTGGTACTGCTGAAGCAGGGATTAGATCCGCTCGAATGAAATAGCCATGATTGTCCAACACTTGCACCTCCATAAAGGTTGTGTCGACACCCTGCGACTGCTTCCACCCACTAACGGTAGTGAGAATACGAACGACCAGAGCTAAGGTTTCAAGGGTACTTTTACATAGAGAGTACTTTGTTATATAGTATGGCACACAATTGTGAAAGCCAGCCATAGTACGGGAAGTGTGCAGACAAACAAAGTCCAAATAGACCGAACAATTAAGGGACTAATCAAGTGTACACAGAGCTGGAACGTGAGAGTGTTCCAACATAACCACTGTGTGCAAGCATAAAACAGCATCTCAGCAGAATCTGTCAAAGTGTGTTGTTTCAACACAAACTTCTGTCTCAACATGTATGCAGGCTACGTAAGGTGAAGCGAGGAATTCATTCTCTTCACACATCGGGTGAACTAACACTGACAAAGAAGGAGGTAGCGAATGCCCTGTGTTTGCACCGTGCTCCAACCTTACGCCGCGTTTATTGGCCACCTAACCCTATGCCAAGTGTTTTCCCAGCACCAAAACGTAACCGTTACTTTTTACGGTAGGAACTAGACTGAAAAATTTGTTATGCGTACAAAAGCACAGCTTTACTGAAGTCGATAACATTTACTCAAAGTCGGTTGCGGCGGTAGGAGGGAGTTTGGCTGAGCCTTGGGTCGATTCCTTCAAAACTGTTCAGGCAAAATATATATGCTCGACGTATGGGAACGCGGGATGATATTTCAATTTAGGAGGGAGGTAGTCTTTTTCATCCAGCCAACTACCGTCCTGAAACCCTTCTACTGATGCTATCAACGGTCCTGGAAGCTATTTATGTGTAGGTTTTAACGACCTACTCGGGATAATTTGCCTACGTTGCACAGGAACAGCATGGCTTCGAAAGAAAATGATCGCGCACTACCAACCTACTGATAGCACTATACAGCTGAACCAAAACAGTAGACACTGGTGCAGGACTTGAGGTAGTTTATCTCGTCCTCTTAAAGCGGTCTGATTGATTAAACCATCGAACCGTCCTTTTGGAACTCAAAATCTTTCGCATTGCTTATCATCTCCTAGGATGGATAAGCTTTCTCTTCCATTAGGGACTTGAGGCAATTTTGCGGGAAAATGTCAGCACCTATTCTAGCCTGGCGCAGAATATTACAGGGATCAGGATAAGGTTTATTCTTGAGGTATATCAACGCTACAACACGCCTGATATGTTTGCATCATCTAAATTGCATCGATAACATCAGGGTAGGAGGGGCGAGTAACTTACCCCATGTTCTCACAATACTTCAAATAGATCTGGATAGGGTTTACGGATAGTCCATCCAGAACCAACTTCGGAGTACGGAGTACTGCACTTACGACAGTAACTAGCGTACTTTTGGATAAGCAGAAGCTTCGAATATTCTGCGGCAAAAATTCTCTAGGCCTTCTGAACCAGACCGATGTTGGCTGTTCGGATCAAGCTGAAAGTCTAAAAAAGGGCACTTAATACGTGGGCTTCATGCATTGTGCCTTCGGACGTAGGTTCTTGGAGTATGCAAAACAGGTCTGTCAGCCATAATCGAGGCGAGATATCATCGCCTTGGAGGCACCTCAACGTCGGGAAATTAAGTACATCAAAAGCATGTACCGGTTACTCTATAAACAATGGCTGAGATTGCTTGGTTTTTGCAGCGGGTGATACTAACGACTGCGTGAAGAGCTTATTGTATATTGTAAGCGACAAGTCGTTTGCTGACGCGTTTCCATTGCAATTAGCAAGTGCATGACAGGAACTGGAATAAGGTACAATATGCAAACACTTAAAAGCAACCACTGTACCGCACCTAAATAATCTGTGCTTTCGGCACAGGCGTGTCCACAAAGGAAACACTCCAGAATGGCCAACAAGTATGGGTTCAAGACACACGCGGAAATGAACACGTCTCATTGCACACTGGCTTAGCGATAGTGGAGTTTGTTCTAAAGTTACAAAGCACATCAAGCGTGTGAGACTGCATGTATGTCATCCACATTCTCAAAGTGGAAAATAAGCACGTAATTAATCTAACATCAGAAACCTAATATGCATTGAGCCAGCGAATCAAAGGGGTTCGAAGCAAGGAAACGAGTTGGGTAAATGGTAGGGGAATCACAGCCAGAGAATCATTGAGTAGCATGAAGGTATCGCAGATAGGGCATTCGGGGTTCTTCTACACAGCTCAACAGATTTTGGGGACCCCAACCACACATACCGTCATCTGTTCGTGATCCCTCATGACAACAATCCAAGATGCCACCTTCTCAAGCTGTCGGAGCATTACAGTCGTCTGGAATGCCGTCAGAATTTTTATTCCCCACGTGTTTGTCAAATAAGTAATTTTCTCCCGGAATCTGTCATCTGCGTCCCAAAGCTGTCAGAGCTCAAAGACCGAGGTGACGGGGCATCCATTTCTCTGCGCTATCTCACATGACTCATGACCCATGGCCAAACGGAAGGTTTGTCAGAGAGTTCAATGCCAGTCAGCTCCCAGAACAGGTTCCACCTTTTTCACCACTTGCGTGTGTTCACCAGGAGATGGCACGATTTATCCAAACAGCCGATTTATCCTCATTCCTTGGGTACCAACAGTGAAGTTGAAGTTTTTAATGCCCATACTTCGGTTAGCCCATCGATGTAAACTTATTTTTGCGGGCACACCTTCCACCTTTTGCGCTATTTATCATAACCGTTCTACGGTGCCTGTTAAGCTTTTGCTTTGTACCCGTATTTTAAAACATTGCTCCATTGTTCATGCCCCCCCTTAGAAACGCAGCGCTGCTCTGCGTAATTGGAATGTCAAACCAAACCCAAAGGCTGCGGGTACATCCACTTCACCTTCTATGGTGGAAACTATAGTTCAACTACAAATGATGGGAAAAAACAAAGGTTCGCGTCTGGCACCAATTGTTTTATAAGGGAAGTGATTATTACAGAACTTGTGAGAAACACACTGCGTCAGGTGGCTGGATCGAACCGACATTTGAACCGCGGGAATTGAAGAAAATTCAACATATTTCCTAAATGCGTCAATTGCAAATTAGGGGTGCTAATTTAGTAAATTATGAGAGTTGTTATAGAATACGTGAGGTCCATCATAACGGATGCTACCTAGTTTAGAGTTAGTATTTTTTTTTCATACCGCATTTACACCATAGGGTGTCCAGTAAATGCTACCACCGAGCCCATCATCGTGTCCTAGCTCTCCCATCTGAATTAGTTGTAAACGAAAACTACATTTAACAATTTCTTATTAACTGTCTACGCTTGTCGCTCGAAGCCCGCAGTATATATGTCACAACCAGTTCACATGAATAATTGAGTATGAGAACTTTCCGTTATTTTGTGCGTTCAGCCAGCTATTAACAATGGGATGGGTTGCTGAGAGTCGAGACTACATGCATGTTGTAACAAAGTCGTGAAAGTCACTTGCTCATAAAAGATTTACTGACCAAATGCTTGACTTGATGCAAATAAGCGTCCGAAATCTGGAACTTGATTTGCTTTAATCATAGAGTCGTCGTAATTAACAGTAGCAAGCGATGCTGGATTTTGCTGCTTTTGCAAGTATTGTGACACAAGATTGTCCGGTTGATCAGCGTCACTGCCTAGAGGTCATGAAGTCCAGAGTTCAGACACAAGATATCTCGAAAGATTATCATGGTACTTCTCACACAGGTATAACGGTGAATATGAAGAGCTGCAGGAAAATCTGTAAACCGCTCGGTGGCAACTTGTCCAACAATAAGGCCAGCCCCGTATGGTGAAAACTGACCAATGTTAAGTGTGATGTCACGCTACTTAAAGCAGTATGGCTAGTTCGATCGCAAATCGTATAAAATGCACCCAAAGCTAACTCACTGATCTTGTCTTTTGCTTGCCCGCTCACTTCCTCTTCTTGAAGCAGATGCTTTGGGAGTGATCCCTCACAGTGCGTTCCACCAAAGTGCGATAACCCTAATGAAAGGCGATTTGGGATATTTTTCTTGGGAGCTTCCTGTTTCTCTTCACTTTTGTAACTGAGCTCTGAAGGGGGACTGAACTTATCGCAGATTTGGGGCAGCGTGCCTTCCGTCAGCAAAACTGCAGCGGAGTTGTTACGGTTTAATTGCGTTGTGGGCTCCCCTTCTTCTTCCTTGTCCTCAGTTGCCGAGGGATCCGTTGCTGCTGCTGATTCTCCCGGTGACTGTGGCCGAAGATGGTTCAAATGGTACTCCTTTGATGGCCCTGAAAGTTTAGATGGAATATCATGTATAGCGTTGGTATACTGTTCGTTGTACTATATGTGTCGTTTGGTAACTCATTTGCTTAATAAGAAGCCTGAATGAATAATGAACGGAAGGCAGCTATGTTTGGAAACTCATCTTTCTCAGGAGCTTAGCCCTAACTTAATTCATTGAGTCAAGATGTATGGCATTTAACCGTAAGCGTAAAAGTAATGTATTGTTGTCAGTTTCTTTCTCAGTTGTATACAACACCCAAGGCGTTAGATTTTGTTCAGGTCAGGTGCGTCCATATTGGCACTGCTCTCAAGTGAGCTTTTTTTGTTAACGTAATGGGAAGTCTTGTAGTAGGTGCTACCAGATATTTGCAGGGAAAGGTAAAGTTTGCAATTTCAACATTTGTTTGCCGGGTTTGATAACCACTGGTGATTTTACATAAATATTAGGGGTATTTTGACACCGCTTTCAATGACGCAGAAGTAAATTTAGAGCAACTTACAATCTCGGGGATCACGCAGAAGTGCACGAATATTAGCCGGGGCAGATTCAAAGTAGGTGTCACAGAGGCCGAGTAATTTCTCACGGGGCATCATATTCACCTGCAAAAAATAAATGGGCATCCGCTTGACCAACCTGCCATGGGTACAGGAGTGAGCATAGACCCTTTCCATCTTCGTTCCAAAATAACGCACCCTTAGCAAAGCATCAGAAACAGGCATCTCAGGTGCGCTCCTAATAACAGATGTTCTCATCCACGGTAATGCGTCATACAATGCTTGTTTAAGCGGTACCATTAAGCTAGGAACTCAAGTCCTTTCCAGTCTCCTGTGTGTTTGCATAACACATACTCCGGGACTTTAATTTAACAAGCAATCGTCCTATGGTTTATGTTGTTTAAACTGTAATACAAGGAAAGATTTGAACAAGAAACACTTTTTCGCTTATGGATGAACTTTCCGTATGGGGGTGTTGGCCCTGTATTTCGCATTATAGTTCCCTCTATGCTTCAATGGATGTAAAGTATGGCGTTTCCTTTCATTAAGCATTATATTGCGCTTGGAGTTTGTTTCTCTTAGGTCTCCATCGGCATTTGTTTCCTCTTGGATAATTACAGGCATATTTACCTGATTACTCTGTGGTTATACCGAGTAATATGGAGATTATCGGTGCGTAAAGCCATAGAATTACATAGGCTGTGTTCTGAAACAGCTGTTTTTCGCTTATAATTCGAATGACTAGTTAGTGTATTCAATGAGTGGATTCACCTGATTGCACTATCTGAAAGTCTACCAGAATTTCTCATGCTTACAATGACTCTGAGTGCTTACCTGTCTCGAAATCAATTTCCGCTCTTACCGAATGCAGCTAAACTGTTGAAACGACAGTAAACTTGCTTTACACTGTTTACAGTTTTCTCTCCTTCCCTGGAGAAAATATATTGGGTAACTACAACATTTCTCCTTGCCATTCACATTGATTTCGCATCACCAATCTCCCAAGTTCGATCTCCTACAACTGTTGGAGCCATCGCAATATTTCCACTGAAAATTCTTTTTAAAAACACGTACATTTCTGAGTGTATATGTTTCCGGTGATAATCTGTACAATCTGAATCAGACAACGTCGGAGAAAAGCCCATCATTTCTCGTTGCTGTTCCTTCATCCGTTTTCTATTTGCTTATTTCTCTCCTATCACTCTTGGCCACGACTGGGCCGATCTCCAGAGATGATGGGTAAAACCTCCCAAAAAATGCGATGCACTCATGCAACGCGAGCTGTCACGAACTCACGGATGAATATCAAAAGTGCTGGGCTCGAACCAGCTAAATGATAGCTGTGTGATCGGGAGAGCTTAAGAAATAATACAGTACTCCACATAAATACATGGTTGGCGGCAACCGGTTTCGGATTTGCCTGTCATTGTGGCAAGCCACGGGACACCTGCTCCAACAGAGGGACCATGGGTGGCTTGCGCTGCACCACCCACAGTTCCATCCACGCGCCACATATCCAGTGGAAACCCGAAGGAAGAAAATCGGGAGGCATGTGGATGGGAGCCACGTTTCATCAACGAAGCCGGCCCACACTCCTTCACAAGCAAACACAAGCAAGCTGTAGTTGGGAATCAAGCGCTTAGAAGGCGGTGTCTGGACCGTGGTCCGCTCCACACTGAGTGCATGGAACCACTCTTCGATCCTAGCACGGCCACAAGGACCGTGCACCCCGTCCCCTCCAGCAACGACCAACTGTCTCGGGAAGCCAGTATGGACGAGGTAGTGGGTAATAGACAGGTAGGCACCTTGTCAACATGCACATCAAGCGCAGCCACAACGGGGATATCAAGCAACAGCCAATCACATGAACTAACATTATTAAAAAGTATATCTGTTAAAGCATACGGCTATGCAGACATAACTCTTCCCTAAATTGGCATATGCAATATGTTGGTTAGCAACGAATCCGCGATAAGTACAAAATGTCCATAAATTACTTAAAAATACTACAAACGCAATATAGTAAACGAAAATATGAGCAGTCAGCGTAAGCAACGTGAGTAAGTTAATAGAAGATTATTCAGGTAGGCAGAACGAACCAATTAAAGTGGAATGAAATCTATCCAGCCTAAAAAGACCTAGTTTAAGTGTAAGTTGGTTTAGCCCAACTGCGGTGAATAAGCATCTGGAATGTAACATCAATCTCAGCATGCGGTACACATAAATATAGACATATTTATGTCTAGCGTATCACCACGATGATAACAACATTTGCATATGACAACGGCCAAATAGAAAAAAAGACGAGCCATCTCGCGTGCCAGTCCGCGAATCGCAAGATAGTAGGCGGAGACTTCAACATGCCTGATCTGTCGTGGTCCTCTAACGACGTCCCAAATAAGTTTAAAAGCTTCATCGCCACTGTGCATGTATGTGGATGGAATCAGCATGTCTTATCTCCCACTAGAAAAAATCACAAATTAGATTTGATATTTACTATCGGCTTCACTGCAGCTTCCACCGAGATACTGGGACATCTTCCCGGTAGTGATCACAGGGTGATCTCTTTCTCATTCAGTGTCAATGCTCAGTTGTCAAAAACACCCTCATCAAAAACACACATGCTTATCAGCTCCTACAAAACCGCTGACTGGGGCCTTTTTGCAAGCTTGATAAGATCGCCGCAGTGGGACACATTCTTCCTCGCTAGCGACCCTCAGATTGCAGCAGATGAGTTATATAACAACATCCATCGGTCAGTAGATGTGTCGATTCCGCGAAAGCATATAAAGCTACCTGTCTCTGGAGAAAGGCCTACACAACACAAATTTGCTGTAAAGCTCAAAAAGTTGCTCAAGGCGTATCGTAAATCCAATGACTTCTCTTTCTTAATAAAGCACCAGCAATTGGTTACTATTAAGGAGAATGCCAATCAGGCCATGCTGATTGATAAAGAAAAACAAGCACTCGGTAACCAAAATAGAAAACAGGAACTATTCAGATTGCTTAAGCGCAAGACCGCTAAACAGAACCTAGATGTTATCTCGCTTATGTCTGCAGATAAATGCTTAGTGAGTGACCCGACTTATACCAGCGAAATGTTCAACAACTACTTTGCTGCCTCGTTTAATGAATGTAGTGATCCTGCGACCCAGGATCTGCAACATCACACGAATGATCAACTCAGCAACATCACATTCAATCTGTGCGATATCCAAAAGCTCATAAAGTCCACTAAAACCTCCTATTTCACTGGTCCGGACAATCTCCCATCTGCTGTCATAAAATTCGGGGGAGATGACATCCCCTTGCTGCTACTGAATATGTTCACCTTATCTATGAATTCTGGTATCATACCGGCTCAGTGGAAGGAGGCGATAGTGATGCCCCATCATAAATCAGGTTCACTGTACGACGTAAAAAACTACCGACCGATTAGTCACACATCAGTATTGTCTAAAATGATGGAGCGACATGTAAAGTCGAAAACGCTTGAATTCCTATTAACTCGAAACTTAGTAAACAATTCACAGCATGGATTCCTGAACTCCAGGTCTTGCATCACTTGTCACTTAGAATTTTTAAATCACCTTGTCAGTTCACACGATCGTGGCTTATCGGCAATCGTCATCTATCTCGACATGCAAAAAGCCTTCGATCGCGTACCTAATAGTCGCCTACTAGCTAAGCTCCAAACCTACGGTATAAAGGACCCCTTACTGGCTTGGTTTAGCTCATATCTCTCAGATCGCTCCCAGATAGTACAAATCCAACAACATAAATCTCAACCCAAGGCTGTTACCAGTGGGGTGGTACAAGGCAGTGTTCTTGGTCCATTGCTATTTCTACTTTACGTTAACGACGTCTTCAGCGTAGTTAAATGCGGCACACCCTATCTTTTCGCCGATGACATCAAAATAGTGTACTCCTTCCATCCTACCAACCTCAGCAATACTCTAATGGAAATCCAACTGGACCTCCATGCGCTTGAGGCTTGGTGCAACACATGGAAAATGTCTTTCAGCACTGACAAATGTAGCGCGATGTTATATAGGTGCAATGTTAAGCACAATGCTCTGACCCTAGATAGCAAACCACTTACTATCTGTCAGACCATCTGTGACCTAGGGCTTCGCTACTCATATTCCCTTAACTTCTCAGAACAAGCATTTTATGCAACAGCCAGAGCTAAACAACGCATTGCATTGCTATTCAAAAATCTTACTCTACGAGATTCAATTTGTTCAATGTATGAATCATTCGCCCGCCCTTTACTTGAATATTGCTCAATGGTGTATAGCAACTCCAGGAAGCATGATCGTATCGCCATAGAAAAGGTACAAAGAGCGTTTACAAAGCGCCTTATTGGTACGAGCTTAGTGTTACCCTATTCTGAGCGATGCGACCTACTTAAGCTTGACCCAATATGGCTTCGACGCCTAAAAGTAAACTTAGCACTTTTTTTCAATATCCTGCACAAAAATGTCCACACCCCTAGCATTGATCTATCACTCATGAAACCAAATGGATACAATACACGCAATAGAGAAAGTGCTGTGATGGTAAGAAGGTCAAAGACAAACATATCAGCAAACTTTTTCCTAAATCGGTACTCCCGTATTTGGAACAAATTACCGACCGATATTCGTACTAGCACATCTGAATATAACTTTCGTAGAAAGCTTGACGAATATCTTACAGTCAGCAATGTGATTATGCTCCTGCGCTGCCCTACAACTATTCAACAAACGTATGAACAAGGTCCAGACAACATATAACTGAAAGTTGCAAATGACTGTATCAGTCAGATCAACAAACACCCGTTGATTCCCTGCTTACCCTTCTCTTTTATTGCCCACTCCGGATCTGCCTGCCCGAAAGCTCACCGCTGATTAGTGGCTCCACTGATACATCGATGAGTTGGAGGTCCAGGCTTCTGTTATCCTCTTCATCCCATTTTGGCTCACTATACTTCTCCTTGATTTTACTTGGCTCCACTGCAACCATGTGTCAGTTGACCCACTGGCAACTTGGTTAGCTGGACTCCCAAATCCGGTTAACTATCTCTGCAATGGTAACTTCACTTCCGTTTCACCCGCTGACTCACCTACCATTCGTTTGTGAAAGCACTGACGCTTTGGTAGGTAAAGCACCCGGATCCTTTCTTTACATCTTCA